CTGCAGGTACATGTTTACAGTTGGATTTCAGTATAATTTTCGACAGATAACAGCTAGTTTTTCAGCTGGAGGACGTTAACAGTTAGTGGTTAGCGATATGCTGCTATTCTGGTGTTCCTGGTTTAGGTACAGGCTCATAAAACTTGATTTGGTCACAGTAGAAGAGTTTCGCTTTCATTTTAGTCGTGTACTCGGTAGCGTAGTTGATTGCGTCAATTTCACCCAGCGCGCGCGCCACTTAAACCATGCCTTGCGTGATGCGCAGAACGTGTGCGCACTAACAAAAGTGGGCACCGTCCTTAAAGTTATTAAAATTTATGGGATATTATACAGAACTAATGGCGCAAGGTGAAAGCTTACATTGTATGCAGTGTTTTCCAGTTTAATAATTCAATAACCGAACAATTCTTTTCACTTTTATTTTCGCTATGCCCAATTTATTTTTCTTGCCTATATAGCTCCTCTATCATACTTGACACATTGCAGTGGCAATCACATGTACATTTAATGGATTAAGCGGACACCGCTGCTACGGCTCTGTACATTAAAAATATTACTTTGGTTCTTGTTTTACAATATCCTGTAAAAGCGTTCTTAAACATGGAAGGAGAAGTAAGAATAGTTTTTATGGCCGGTAATTTTACAGAGATACTTCAGATATGCGAGATATTATTATTACAAACAAAATTGAAATGTTCTGAACGTACTAGCTTGAAAAATAAAACAGCTACTTCAGGCTGAACTATTTCCAAGATCAGCGATATTATCATATCCGAGAGACACAGTTAGTACTTTGGAAAACAGAAAAATGTCGTTCCTTTTTCTCTCTTTCTTTCCTTTTCGTTTCTTTGAAGTTTTTTTAAGATCAAAAATGACTAACATAGTTCGTTTGTAATGAAAATTACATCTCAAGTTGATATTCCTTCCTTAGCCCTAAACGTTTCACTTAAATATATTTAAAAATATGTCAGTTTGATGTTCCGCCAGTGACTTCCGGTGAGTCACAATCTGTTTTTTCCTCATATGCGGAAGTTGTTGAGATTAGCCAGAGCAAATTCACAAGGAGAATTAATTTTCATTACTGTGTTTTGATTTCTTTTGCGGGGATTTTCCTTTAACAACAACTCGGCGGTTTCGTATATTTGGCCACATTCTATGGAAATAAGAATTTCCTACGATTGTATTCCGTGTGGTGTACGCAAAATCTAAAAGTAATTTCCGCGAACGAGTAGGCAGTCTTTAAATCAGCGTATTGACACAGCTTAGACCAAACTATGGAGCGGGATTTTTGAATTAGGAACTAGAATATACAGAAAAGATACAGCCTAAAAACAAATATGTATTGCAAACCTCAGCTTGTTGCTGAAATGCATTTCTGGTGCGTAAAATGCCGTAACTAATACAAAAAGAAGCTAGTGTATTTCATCTGATTTTAATTATTGATATGGAATACACGAGCTTGTGAAAATGCAAGATGCAAATTAATTCAGTTGTTAATTTGATCGTAACTAAAGCAGATCTCGATAGAGATCCTGTTAGTTTTATAAATAAATGTAATGAAGAAGCAAATAATTAACAGAAGACTGGCGAAACCGCTTTTTATCAATTCTCTTACCAAGGTAAAAAACAGAATATAGTATTTGAACAATGTCTGTAGAGTATAGAAAGAAAAAAGTCTTACATAATAATCACTTGATCATAGCAAAAATACATTTCCTGTGATTGTTTTAAAAGACTCTGGAAGTTTCTATTTTAGTTATGTTATCATTGTCAAAATGGCATCCCTTTTATTTATTTTCTTTCCACAGTACTAAATATGCTACTAAAATAGAAGACTATTTTGGTCGTTAGCACTAACGGACAGGCACAATTACTCTGACATCATTCTGCTTGTCTTTGCCATTATCCACTGAAAAAGTGATATTGTAAAAAGTAATCAATGGTCGCTTTTTAGGCTGATATAATATAACATGTTTGCTTTTCTAGTTCTTCGACGCCCCTTCATACAACATGTGTTAAAACACACTTGGGGCCATTGATCTGTTTGAGGTTCCTCTTAACCCCAACTACTGCCCTGAAATTTTGAGTCAAGGCTTATCTTTAAAATCGAAAAAAGGAAAAGAAACTGAAAATAAAACAAATCTAAAAAGTTGACGCTGGTTTTAAGTTCCGATGTCTGTGGCAGCCTGCACGCTTACAAGTTTCTTTTTAATTGGCCAAAGGAAACAGTAGGTAAAGAACTCAAACAATTTCCCTAGCCCTAAGAAGAAAAAGTAACTACAACCGTCTTCAGCTAAGAACGTAAATTGAACGGAGTCTCTTTTTTTAAATAAATACTAAAAAATAATAGAAGCCGTGATGCTAAATGTTGTTCCAAAGGAGACTAGCGTAACAAGCATTGAAATGTCTCAAGACATTCTTGAGGTTTTGGCATGTTTGTAAAAGAAAAAAGTCCATTAACTGAATGAAGTCCATTTCAAGAAAAAACGTTCTTGTTCCTTTCTGGACCATCCATCTTTTCTATCTGCAAAACTGTCAACTCACTCTCAAGCGCATAGTCATAATACAAGACTCAAGACAGCAGAATACAAGACAAGACATAATGCAAGACCATAGCACTACGTTCCTTTTTTATCATCCTCTTAAGATCTATAACTCTCTCAGCCTAAACAGCAGAAGTTCTACATTACTTAGCAAGTTCAAGAGGAAGGTAAAAATGGAAGCATAAAGTTTACGTAGTAAGTGTATTTTATCATCTCGTTCAGTATCATTATTATTTTGACGTAACATAAGTATCATGTTTGTTATTTTAATATTAAACAATTCATGTAATTTTCAAGCACTTCATTCGCGATGCTGCTGATGCCTGTACCTTACTACGCGAGGTTTTCTAAATGTTGGTTTTTTTATTGTTACTTCCATTGCTCCATTAACGCTGCCCACTTGAATGTTATCAATAATATAAAATGAATGTTTAACAAATTTCTTGAAGTATCTAAAAATAATCTTTCTGTGTAGATTCAGCTACTTTATACTTGAAGTCGTTTATATATCAATGATAAATCATAGCATTTAACGAAGTGTTGAATTCTCCACTCGAGGGTAGTCAATAAGGTAAAATTAATGTTGCGTCAAATTGCGTCATGTAGATAAAAATAATCTTTCTGTGTTTATACACTTTTTTTCTTCTAGAAGTAGCTAATTTCTCGCTGGAAGTATTGAATGCCCTACTGGTGTGCTTACACTCGAACACTTTTGTGTACTTTGACAAAGGCTAAGGTCTATTTGTTTTCTTTGGTTGGACTCAACTAAGTAACTCAAGTTTGCTATGCTCGGATCGTGAATAAAACTGTAAATCTCTAAATGTTTAATGACGTTTCCCAATTCTGGCCGTGTTTAATTTCTCCGTCAAAATTGCTTCCATACGAAGCCGTAATCTAGCTAGAAATGAAATCACGGGGTCAAAACATAACTTAGTTTTCTCTTTTTAATACCGCATCATAGATCTCGATTCGCCGCCGCGGAACTTCTAAATCATTTTCTAAGCAAAACAAAGAGAAATTAGCACTGACGACCACCCCCATTTCGGTCTTTAACATCCCACTTGCGGCTCTTTGAAGGTGTATAAAAAGGCGGATAAGAAAAGCAGACTGATTCTCTCTTCTTTCTTGAGTCGTCGACATCATTTTGAATTGAACAGTTGACCGATTTGATCACTTGATGTCGAGGCGACATAGAATGCCGCTGACGCCAGTGTTTCTTTTTGTTGCTCTTTTCATCATGATTACGCCAGTGTTGGCCGATGATGAAGCAAGCGAGCAGGAGATTACGGTAAATGCGAGTAACGTTCGCGGACTTGGAAACGTTGGGTCTCAATTGTTGTATTATTATTGTACGTGTAGTTCTGCTAAAATGCAATAACTGACGACAAAGCATGGTAATTTGGTAAGCTATAGTTATTCAGCTCTTCCAAGTCTTTCCAGCCTTTTAATCGATGGTTCATCGTTATTTTAATAACTTAACTGAGTTTTTGATCTGTCAGCCTATGACATTTACTTTCTTAATTATCATTTCATGTTTTTAGGCGAAAATAGCACACCCACGACAATTTCAAGACTGGTACTCACAAGGTGACACGAAAAATATTCGTGGATTAGCAAACCTTCAGAGAGCATCTAGAACATTTTCTCCCTGTTTTTGCGGACTTACTTCCCTTAAGTGTTGTCTAAGAAAACGGACACTTGCCAAGGTAATTTTAACTTTTTTGCAGGGATCATAATTGCATTGATGTTTTACATGTACATATGGTCGAACTCAGCCCCAATCCAGTGAGCAGGGAAGCCTGGTGATTCATTAGAACCGGCGAGTATCTCACACCGCGTAGGATGCTTATCGAGAGACGTGTCGACAGAATAAAATCAAGGTCTTATATCAAGAACAAAATACGACAGTTCCGACCAGGGGCCCGTTTTTCGAAGGTCCCGAAAAGTTTTCGCACCCCGAAAGCCGTAGCAAAATCTCAAAAATGATTACAGGTTCTCTTCATACAAGGAGTTTCAGGCGCATATACCCCCTTGGGTTGTAGGTACAGACTATCTAAAAATCGCTTTGTGGGCCCGAAAAGATTCCGGGACTTTCGAGAAAAGGGTCCCAGGTTTCGATCGAAATTAGAAAAGTACGCCGCTCCGAAGTCCAGCAGTTAACCAGAAGGCCTTCCTTTGACATTTCGAGGTTCATTGTTATTGTTTCAGAGTGATTTCGATATGTATATTTTTAATTTTCTGCAAAATTTTTAACCCACATGCATTTGCAATCGTTACAAATGAGTACAAATCATTTAAAACAACAAACCTTGCTTTCCTGTGTGCACAAACATTTAACTAATGCACTAGGCATGTGTTGCGGGACGTTTTGCGATAAAGCCGACGTTACGACAGTGGAAACTAGGTAGGAATAACTGTGTTTTCTCTTTCTAGGTTGAGGAAGCTGGAAACATCTCAGTAGGAAACTCATTCTGAGTGAAAACGATTGAATGGCAGTTACTGAGCAGTTTTTTCGCGGTGAAATATCAGTATGATATATTTGAAGGTTGGATTAACCGTTGGATAAAGAACTTACGCTCAAATAGCCTGGATTAGTTTAAACTTGTAATTGAGGATTTTCTTCTCATTAGCTCACAACTGACTGGCCTTAGAAACAAATATTAAAGTCGACATGATAAGGAATGGTAAGGTGTTGTAGCGCCATTATTTTTGTTGAAATTGCAGGGTGCTTATCACAAAAATACACAGAACTATGGATATTTCTCTGGCTCCGAGCTCGGCTTTTGAGCGAGTCGAGGAGGGGGAATACAAAAAGAAATAAATTGGGCCTGTTATTTGACACCTAAAGCTATGCAAATAAAAAATATACTGCAGAGAGCTTATATTTACATCTTTTTTCTCTTTGCTATACGTACGACTTGAGGTCCTGCACGTGGTTNTAACAGTTAGTGGTTAGCGATATGCTGCTATTCTGGTGTTCCTGGTTTAGGTACAGGCTCATAAAACTTGATTTGGTCACAGTAGAAGAGTTTCGCTTTCATTTTAGTCGTGTACTCGGTAGCGTAGTTGATTGCGTCAATTTCACCCAGCGCGCGCGCCACTTAAACCATGCCTTGCGTGATGCGCAGAACGTGTGCGCACTAACAAAAGTGGGCACCGTCCTTAAAGTTATTAAAATTTATGGGATATTATACAGAACTAATGGCGCAAGGTGAAAGCTTACATTGTATGCAGTGTTTTCCAGTTTAATAATTCAATAACCGAACAATTCTTTTCACTTTTATTTTCGCTATGCCCAATTTATTTTTCTTGCCTATATAGCTCCTCTATCATACTTGACACATTGCAGTGGCAATCACATGTACATTTAATGGATTAAGCGGACACCGCTGCTACGGCTCTGTACATTAAAAATATTACTTTGGTTCTTGTTTTACAATATCCTGTAAAAGCGTTCTTAAACATGGAAGGAGAAGTAAGAATAGTTTTTATGGCCGGTAATTTTACAGAGATACTTCAGATATGCGAGATATTATTATTACAAACAAAATTGAAATGTTCTGAACGTACTAGCTTGAAAAATAAAACAGCTACTTCAGGCTGAACTATTTCCAAGATCAGCGATATTATCATATCCGAGAGACACAGTTAGTACTTTGGAAAACAGAAAAATGTCGTTCCTTTTTCTCTCTTTCTTTCCTTTTCGTTTCTTTGAAGTTTTTTTAAGATCAAAAATGACTAACATAGTTCGTTTGTAATGAAAATTACATCTCAAGTTGATATTCCTTCCTTAGCCCTAAACGTTTCACTTAAATATATTTAAAAATATGTCAGTTTGATGTTCCGCCAGTGACTTCCGGTGAGTCACAATCTGTTTTTTCCTCATATGCGGAAGTTGTTGAGATTAGCCAGAGCAAATTCACAAGGAGAATTAATTTTCATTACTGTGTTTTGATTTCTTTTGCGGGGATTTTCCTTTAACAACAACTCGGCGGTTTCGTATATTTGGCCACATTCTATGGAAATAAGAATTTCCTACGATTGTATTCCGTGTGGTGTACGCAAAATCTAAAAGTAATTTCCGCGAACGAGTAGGCAGTCTTTAAATCAGCGTATTGACACAGCTTAGACCAAACTATGGAGCGGGATTTTTGAATTAGGAACTAGAATATACAGAAAAGATACAGCCTAAAAACAAATATGTATTGCAAACCTCAGCTTGTTGCTGAAATGCATTTCTGGTGCGTAAAATGCCGTAACTAATACAAAAAGAAGCTAGTGTATTTCATCTGATTTTAATTATTGATATGGAATACACGAGCTTGTGAAAATGCAAGATGCAAATTAATTCAGTTGTTAATTTGATCGTAACTAAAGCAGATCTCGATAGAGATCCTGTTAGTTTTATAAATAAATGTAATGAAGAAGCAAATAATTAACAGAAGACTGGCGAAACCGCTTTTTATCAATTCTCTTACCAAGGTAAAAAACAGAATATAGTATTTGAACAATGTCTGTAGAGTATAGAAAGAAAAAAGTCTTACATAATAATCACTTGATCATAGCAAAAATACATTTCCTGTGATTGTTTTAAAAGACTCTGGAAGTTTCTATTTTAGTTATGTTATCATTGTCAAAATGGCATCCCTTTTATTTATTTTCTTTCCACAGTACTAAATATGCTACTAAAATAGAAGACTATTTTGGTCGTTAGCACTAACGGACAGGCACAATTACTCTGACATCATTCTGCTTGTCTTTGCCATTATCCACTGAAAAAGTGATATTGTAAAAAGTAATCAATGGTCGCTTTTTAGGCTGATATAATATAACATGTTTGCTTTTCTAGTTCTTCGACGCCCCTTCATACAACATGTGTTAAAACACACTTGGGGCCATTGATCTGTTTGAGGTTCCTCTTAACCCCAACTACTGCCCTGAAATTTTGAGTCAAGGCTTATCTTTAAAATCGAAAAAAGGAAAAGAAACTGAAAATAAAACAAATCTAAAAAGTTGACGCTGGTTTTAAGTTCCGATGTCTGTGGCAGCCTGCACGCTTACAAGTTTCTTTTTAATTGGCCAAAGGAAACAGTAGGTAAAGAACTCAAACAATTTCCCTAGCCCTAAGAAGAAAAAGTAACTACAACCGTCTTCAGCTAAGAACGTAAATTGAACGGAGTCTCTTTTTTTAAATAAATACTAAAAAATAATAGAAGCCGTGATGCTAAATGTTGTTCCAAAGGAGACTAGCGTAACAAGCATTGAAATGTCTCAAGACATTCTTGAGGTTTTGGCATGTTTGTAAAAGAAAAAAGTCCATTAACTGAATGAAGTCCATTTCAAGAAAAAACGTTCTTGTTCCTTTCTGGACCATCCATCTTTTCTATCTGCAAAACTGTCAACTCACTCTCAAGCGCATAGTCATAATACAAGACTCAAGACAGCAGAATACAAGACAAGACATAATGCAAGACCATAGCACTACGTTCCTTTTTTATCATCCTCTTAAGATCTATAACTCTCTCAGCCTAAACAGCAGAAGTTCTACATTACTTAGCAAGTTCAAGAGGAAGGTAAAAATGGAAGCATAAAGTTTACGTAGTAAGTGTATTTTATCATCTCGTTCAGTATCATTATTATTTTGACGTAACATAAGTATCATGTTTGTTATTTTAATATTAAACAATTCATGTAATTTTCAAGCACTTCATGTAATTTTAGACTGTCCTTGAAAAGGTGTAAATTAATTCTGACAAGTCTAGTTGGGAGGAATTAATAAACTCTGCTATTGTATTGCATCCCGTTGATCTGTTTATAATTTCAAACTTTCTTGATTGATGCCGTGTTGGTGAGGCATCTTACACTGGGCATTGCAAACACTTCGGCACTCTTTGCATTTGATTTCACTCCTTCTTATCATGTCCTTAGGTTTCTTCAGAATAACCATTTCTTCATCCTCTGTTATGAATCTGACACCACGCGATGCTGCTGATGCCTGTACCTTACTACGCGAGGTTTTCTAAATGTTGGTTTTTTTATTGTTACTTCCATTGCTCCATTAACGCTGCCCACTTGAATGTTATCAATAATATAAAATGAATGTTTAACAAATTTCTTGAAGTATCTAAAAATAATCTTTCTGTGTAGATTCAGCTACTTTATACTTGAAGTCGTTTATATATCAATGATAAATCATAGCATTTAACGAAGTGTTGAATTCTCCACTCGAGGGTAGTCAATAAGGTAAAATTAATGTTGCGTCAAATTGCGTCATGTAGATAAAAATAATCTTTCTGTGTTTATACACTTTTTTTCTTCTAGAAGTAGCTAATTTCTCGCTGGAAGTATTGAATGCCCTACTGGTGTGCTTACACTCGAACACTTTTGTGTACTTTGACAAAGGCTAAGGTCTATTTGTTTTCTTTGGTTGGACTCAACTAAGTAACTCAAGTTTGCTATGCTCGGATCGTGAATAAAACTGTAAATCTCTAAATGTTTAATGACGTTTCCCAATTCTGGCCGTGTTTAATTTCTCCGTCAAAATTGCTTCCATACGAAGCCGTAATCTAGCTAGAAATGAAATCACGGGGTCAAAACATAACTTAGTTTTCTCTTTTTAATACCGCATCATAGATCTCGATTCGCCGCCGCGGAACTTCTAAATCATTTTCTAAGCAAAACAAAGAGAAATTAGCACTGACGACCACCCCCATTTCGGTCTTTAACATCCCACTTGCGGCTCTTTGAAGGTGTATAAAAAGGCGGATAAGAAAAGCAGACTGATTCTCTCTTCTTTCTTGAGTCGTCGACATCATTTTGAATTGAACAGTTGACCGATTTGATCACTTGATGTCGAGGCGACATAGAATGCCGCTGACGCCAGTGTTTCTTTTTGTTGCTCTTTTCATCATGATTACGCCAGTGTTGGCCAATGATGAAGCAAGCGAGCAGGAGATTACGGTAAATGCGAGTAACGTTCGCGGACTTGGAAACGTTGTGTCTCAATTGTTGTATTATTATTGTACGTGTAGTTCTGCTAAAATGCAATAACTGACGACAAAGCATGGTAATTTGGTAAGCTATAGTTATTCAGCTCTTCCAAGTCTTTCCAGCCTTTTAATCGATGGTTCATCGTTATTTTAATAACTTAACTGAGTTTTTGATCTGTCAGCCTATGACATTTACTTTCTTAATTATCATTTCATGTTTTTAGGCGAAAATAGCACACCCACGACAATTTCAAGACTGGTACTCACAAGGTGACACGAAAAATATTCGTGGATTAGCAAACCTTCAGAGAGCATCTAGAACATTTTCTCCCTGTTTTTGCGGACTTACTTCCCTTAAGTGTTGTCTAAGAAAACGGACACTTGCCAAGGTAATTTTAACTTTTTTGCAGGGATCATAATTGCATTGATGTTTTACATGTACATATGGTCGAACTCAGCCCCAATCCAGTGAGCAGGGAAGCCTGGTGATTCATTAGAACCGGCGAGTATCTCACACCGCGTAGGATGCTTATCGAGAGACGTGTCGACAGAATAAAATCAAGGTCTTATATCAAGAACAAAATACGACAGTTCCGACCAGGGGCCCGTTTTTCGAAGGTCCCGAAAAGTTTTCGCACCCCGAAAGCCGTAGCAAAATCTCAAAAATGATTACAGGTTCTCTTCATACAAGGAGTTTCAGGCGCATATACCCCCTTGGGTTGTAGGTACAGACTATCTAAAAATCGCTTTGTGGGCCCGAAAAGATTCCGGGACTTTCGAGAAAAGGGTCCCAGGTTTCGATCGAAATTAGAAAAGTACGCCGCTCCGAAGTCCAGCAGTTAACCAGAAGGCCTTCCTTTGACATTTCGAGGTTCATTGTTATTGTTTCAGAGTGATTTCGATATGTATATTT